TAATCTCAGTATATTCACTCAATTCAGTGCCTGACATTGCTATGCTGCTACAGCTGACAGCCCATTACAAATTTATATGCTGCAAACCCACAGTGCACACAAATATGAAGAGATCGTGAACAAATCATGGGGGGAAAGTAAACAGAACCAAATACTATAGAACGGTATTTTACACATGAATGACAAAAACATGAGAAAAAAGCTTCATGCACAGATAATCAACAAAAGTCCAGAAACTATTACAAAATACACAGTGTGAAAACTGGGATGAGGGAAGGTTCAACATGGGCTTTAAGCCTTTATTTCAATCCAAATGGTACATAGTAGCACATGCGTCCTTACAGTAAACACTGACCTCCAAATAAGAATTACATAATTTCACTTACCTTTCATGTCAGTGCCATTAAAACTTGGTCACCAAGATATGCATAGGCATATCCGGACAGAAACATTTTAACAAACAGCACCATACATCCATNAATGAAGGAAGCAGTCCCAGTACTTGTGTGTCAATGGTTATGCTTTGCTGATGTACACTGGTAGCTAGGTTCTCAGACAGACTTACACTAAATCCCATTTATCTGATGTCAGGATATAACCCGGTCTCAAGGGCTACTAGCATCCATGTAGCATCTCCAAACATAATGCAGTATTTCACACACAATTAACTACTGTACAGTATACCACAATACTAGTGAGAACTACACATGCCACACTACTGGCTACAACTACACAGTACATGCCCACCAGTGCAGCCCTATTACATACCAGTAACTTTAACTGGAATACAGGATTCAGTCTAGGCTAATCATGGACCCTGGCTACCAGCATACATCAATGAAGCAGCACCTTCAACACGCAGCCACTAGTAACGTTTCCTAACATCCGAGTCTTCCCACGTTAGGAAATAACTCCTGTTGCCCTGGATATAAGTGAATGCCTGACTCCACCCACTGGTCTCTCCGCTAGTTCCTTTGCAACGAGGCATCAGATTCCAAGAGCAACTGCATGTATACACTGGCCACATTGCTGCATCACTCATACAATTAATCCCTGATGATGGATGATGAGACTGCCATTAAAATGGAAATTCATTCAGCTAATACAGCTAATCACCCACTCAAACACAGTTTCACAGACTGCCCACAAAATATTTAAAAAATGATATGGGTACAGCAGACCGCCTCTGTGGTCTAGTGGTCAGAGTTCCTGGCTACAGATCCAGAGGTCCCAGGTTCGATTCCCGGGGCTACCAGATTTTCTGAGCAGTGGGTTTGGAATGGGATCCACTCAGCCTTGTGAGGATAACTGAGGAGCTATTTCAAGGAAATAGCAGCTCCTGTCTAGAAAACCGAGACTAACGGCCGGGGGAGCCGTCGCACTGACCACCTCTATCCGCAAAAGTTGGCACTAACTTCGCAGACAAGCAGTGGTCGCTCAGTAGGTATAGTTTGCTTGCCAGTGGCAGGCCACACAGATTATGGGTACAGTAACTGGTGCAAGCAGGTAAAAGCACTCTGTTCTCTGTTACTCTTTATAATTTCAAATAATTCACTAACTATTCTAATGCTGAAGGTGTTGAAACTGAATGTAGGTTTCTCACTTCTGGTGTAGGCTGGCAAATACTTAGGCACATGTTTCTTTGCCATCTTCAATGTGTGAGCATCAGAGTGGACACTGTGTCCATACTGTATACTTGGAAAAAACCTGCCCCAGTACCACTCTGTCCACCATAAATACATGACCTGACCTGGGCTTGAACATGGGCCGCTGCAGTGGGAAGCCAGCAGCTAACAGCCTGAGCTATAGCATAGCCTAACAGATGACATAACACTTAAAACACAGGCTTACAATAAAATTTTCACGGCAGACAAAAGAGAGTATGGTGGTAGGTGGAACCACCTGTTGTGTTAACCTTGAGTGTCTTGTGACATCAACAGCTTGCATCACGTGATCAGTATCACTCCTAACAAAATGGCTGACAACAATATGTCGTTTCGCCACTGTGCTGTAATCAAATTTCTTGTGAGAGAGGAAATCCCTGCTGCAGAAATTCACCAGAGACTTCAGCGTGCTTATGGAAGTGTGTGCATGGGTGTGAGCAGTGTTTGAAGATGGGTGAAACATTTTAAAGATGGGAACACCAGCACCGAAGATGAGGCTCAGAGTGGTCGTCCTCGAACAGCCTCAACTGAACGCAACAAGGAAAGAGTGGATGAGTTCATTCAAGATGACAGGCGTGTGACTGTGGACACAATAGCCCAAAATCTTGGAATAGGGCACAGTCCAGTACAGGAGTTGACTGAAAACTTGGCTACAGGAAAGTTTGTGCTCGTTGGGTCCCGCAGTTATTGACCAAAGACCACAAAGGTCAGTGAAAAGCCATCACCTCAGAACTGCTGCAGAGATATCGACACAAAAGCGATGCTTTTTCGCTCTGTATTGTAACAGGTGACGAAAGCTGGTTTCACCATTTCGAGCCTGAAACGAAACGGCAGCGTATGGAATTTCACCATTTGCATTCTCCATCAAAAAAGAAGGCAAAGACAGTGCCATCAGCTGCGAAGATGATGGGCACAGTCTTCTGGGATGCAGAGGGGCTTATTCTGGCCGAATTCCTGGAACCTGGGCAAACCATCAATGCTACTCATTATGTCCAGACGCTGCACAAGCTCCATCGTGCATTGCGCAATAAACATCCGGGACGAAACATCATCCTGCATGACAATGCTCGCCTCACATTGGAAGCAATGGCAAACATGGGATGGGAAGTTCTTCCACACCCCTCCTATAGCCCTGATCTGGCACCCTCTGACTATCATCTGTTCGGATTTGTGAAGGATCAGCTGCGTGGACAACGTTTTGAGACAAGGGAGGCAATTCAGAAAGCAGTGCATCAGTATCTTCAGATGGCTGGAACAGAATTTTACAGAAGGGAAATTTTCAAACTCCCAGAACGCTGGGAGAAATGTGTACAAAGAAGTGGCGATTATGTGGAAAAATAAAGAAAGGTCTGTAGATTGAGGTGGTGTATTTGGTTTGTCAATAATAAAGCATGTTACTTTACAAAAAATTGTTGCTCATGACTTTCAGTACGATCCTCGTATATAGTACATACACCATTTTACATGGGTCCCTTGTCACCATGGCATGGCACATCCTCAGGTTACATATGGAGCGCACACCCTCCAGGTATGGAGGGTAGCAGAGAATATACTGAATAAGCAACCACAAACAGCCGACAAGGCGTGGTCCTCCGGCTTGGGGGTAATAATTCCCAACACAAAAAACAAGCTTGTTGCGAAAGATCATAAGAAGCCTCGGACCTGGAGGGATTCCTTGGATAAACAATCTAAGCGAAAGAAAATGGATATGCGATTTGGTACTTGGTATGTTAGAAGTATGTATAGGGCAGGTTCGCTCAGGGTAGTGGCAGAAGTCTCAAAATATATGTTAGACTTAGTGGGAGTACAGGTCAGATGAGGTGGAGGAAGCACTAAGTTAGCAGGTAAATATATATTTTTCTATGGAAAAGGGAATGAAAATCATGAATTTGGCACAGTTTTTTCCATACATAAGAGAATCATATCGGCAGTTAAGAGGTAGAGTTCATTAGTAATAAGATGTCATTCATAATACTAAGAGGTTGCTGGTGTCATCATCGTTCTGAATGTTCATGCCAAAACAGAAGATAAAACTGATGATATAAAGGACAAGTTCTACGAGGAAATATAATTCCAAAAGTACCATATGAAAATTTTGTTAGATATCAATGACATAGTGCGTTGGGAAGATACTTTCAAACCGACGATTGGGAATGAGAGGTTGCATGAAATTAGTAATGATAATGGAAAACATAAGAAACATAAGAAAACATTACGTACACAAGATAATAATACGAATATATTTATATATTACAGATAACACCTATACAGTGTGGAAACAAGAACTAGCCGCTGCAGCACTTCAGACATAGGGCGAGTAACCCTAAAAATTTTAAATTTAAAATTTAGAGAAAAATTTTTAAAGGATTTTAAAATTAGAACTAAAGATTTTATAGTGCTACTACAGGTAAGTCAAAATTAACGTGTAAAATAATCTACAAACCAGACAGATATCAACGAAGTAGATGTTGATAATAACAAGGAAAGTGTTTTAAATGTTAAATTTTGGGCTGAGTGCACTGTGACAGCGACGTGAGTGTTATACACCTGATGATGGCCGTCTGAGGCCGAAACATGTAGTGTAGAGGAACAAGATCAAGGACACATAATATATTGTTTGCACTTGGAACGGAATTTGTATCATTATATCATTTATGATAATGGAGTTAGTAGTAAACTCTGCCACATCAAAAAATATTATAATCAAAAGTACAATGTTCCCACATCATAACGATAACAGATCGAAACCTGATTCAGGAGGAAATTAATATGAGATTCAACTCAGGCAATGCTTGTTACCATTCAGTACAGAACCTTTTGTCTTCTTGTCTGCTGTCCAAAAACATAAAAATTAGAATACACAAAACTATAATTTTGCCTGCGGTTCTGTATGGGTGTGAAATTTGGTCTCTGACATTAAGGGAGGAACATATACTGAGAGTGTTTGAGAATAGGGTACCAAGGAGAATATTTGGACTGAAGAGAGATGAAGTGAAGGAAGGTTGGAGGAAACTGCATAATGAGGAGTTTCATAACTTGTAGTCTTCTACAAGTATAGTTAGAATGATCAAGTCAAGGAGGATGAGATGGGCAGGGCATGTAGTATGAATGGGGAGAAGAGGAATGCACACAGGATATTGGTGGGAAAGCCAGAAGGAAAGAGACCACAGGGAAGACCAAGATATAGGTAGGTGGACAATATTAAAATGGATCTTAGAGAGATAGGATGGTATGGTATGGATTGGATTTGATATGGCTCAAGATAGGGACCAGTAAATGGATCTTGTGAACAGGGTAATGAACATTCGGGTTCCATAAAATGCTGAGAAACTTCCGAGTATGCGTACAATTGACAGCTTCTCAAGAAGGGCTCAGCTCCATGAGTGAGAATATACATACATACAGTATAGACTTACTTGCACTACGACTTAAACAAATGGTTGTCATAAAATGTTCAAAGCTGACCAAGAAGAGGATGGACACACTAGTACTGTCAATGGATGAAGTATCCCTTACACAAAGAAGATATTCACTGCAGGCCCTAGAAATTAAACACATGCACTGTCAATATATGAAATAATATTTAAAAGCTCACTATAAAATGTTCACTGCAGGTCGAAATAGGAAACACACTACAAATGTCAACAGATTAAACAACACCAGTATGCAAAGACTTACATTAACAGAGCCTGCTTTCGCCTCACAGACTTCTTAAGCTACAAAGAACATTTACCTTGCACGTCTTTCCCATATGATCCCAAACAATGGCAAATTCTACAAGTTGCATTTCCAAATACCTCCTGTTGTGTCTGAGGCGATTTCACTTGCTGTTAGAACCCTCATAAAAGAACTTGAGGTTCCACAACTACGTACATATCACATCTGAAAAATATGAAATCAGTAAATACTTTAACAACATATTTATTTTATTAATTACACCAAAAATATCAAAAGTGCCTAATGAATATTTTTATGCTTTGCTTCCTGTTGTAAATATACGAGTACAGTCATGATTTCTGTGCTGTCACATAACAAGTGATATTTTGGCCATTAAACAAAAGTTTACTGGACTGAATTTACCAGTCAATCTGCCTAGTATATGGTCCCTATGTTATGCAACTTTTCAGCAAGCGCTTGGCTCTTTATGTTTTTGTTTGTTGTCTTTTCAAGTAACAAAAGCAGAAAAATTACAAACCTTTAAAACTACCATCCAACAAACCTTACCTCAAAACTTCAAAACGACTGCCTGGAGCACGGATTATTAAGAGCATTAATAGCGTCCGAGCCATAACGGTGGAAGAGAAGAAATGAATTACGTGCTAAGGTATTTGTACATCAACACGTTCATTCAACTATCTCATCTGCAATTGTACCAATTTTCGCGATATCTCATGGCTTTTAAGTTTTTTAACTGTGGGAAATTCTGCACGCCATGAAATAATTTAGTCTGTTCTGAAAGAATTTCTTAAATTAATATGCAAACCACGAAAGTTCCATTTAGCTTGAGTTTCACCTAAAAAAAATTGAAAGTCTCCGTCCGTAGTTAATCCGTGACTACTATCGTCTATGGTTGTAATCCGTGGCTGCCGAGAATGCATTGATCCGTCATAGGCAAATGACTAGAAGACGGACTAGGGTCGGAATTTACGCTGTGACGTGACGCAGTAAAATAATAATTAGACTATGCTGATATCCTCAATACGCGACCTCCTATTGAAATTTCAGTTAACATTTCTGGTTGGTCCAGAACATCAACTGCTTGTCTCTCATAGAAATTTCGATCTGGAACCCGCAGAGCAGGTAAATAGAAATGAGATGTTGACGTTGGCAACAGTTGACGGTTATTGTTTGAACCTGTTTGAATGTGTTGTTCAAAGATCCAAGGAACTTTCCAAAATAGTTACAATTTTATATTTTACAGTCTTTTAAATGGTTCGCAGAAAGCCTTTGGAAGTGAGAAGGACCAAGTTTACGAGAGAGGCAGAAGCCGCAATCCAGTCCTCAAGGTTAGATGAGAATATTATGTGTAATAGAAATTTTTGTGTACCAAGCTTTTATTATTGGAGAGTAGTTTTGGAAGTCCATAATTGCGTTTCATTGCTCTGATTTCAGGAATGTATCACCAAGAGTCTCCAGAAATAATGACGGACATCAGTCTTCGAGTACGGTAAGGAATTTATTAGGCCTAATAATGTAATGTAATTGATTAAAGTAATCACGTTTTTAATTTATGTTATTGTCAAAGATTCACAGGCTCTGATTAAGGGTTTATTGTTCCTGATGGTAGCTTATGGTAAGGGATGTCAATCAAATTATAGCTGAAGACAAGATTGATTTAACTTCTGTGGTTTTCTCCTCTAATCTTGTGTAAATGCTGTATAGTTTTACCCCTACTGTCACTGCAAGGTTTTCACTCATGTGATTGGTTTATCTGCCTACCGTACCCCATAATCCATCATTTCAGTTCCATGGTATAATTATAATAATTATACCTAGAGTACTTAAGACACTGTTAGTAAGTAACAAGACTAATGTCTAGAATAGGTTAGGTTACCTCATTTAAGATTTTGTCACTTGGGCCAGTTGTTTATGGAACCAAGTGACTATTATGATGCCCCCATAAATGAAGTCCTGCAGTTCATGAAAAGTGTAGAATTAATAAAGGGTTAATCCAAAGGGGAAGCACAGTAGGTCATTATTGGACATGGTGCAGAGGCCAGTTTATGGCCCACCCCTCATACATGCATACGTACACACACCTATTACTAATTTTTATATACAGTTAGTTACTATTTAGAGATCTGACACAATTCTGACCTGCTAACCTCTTGTCATTGCATCTTTATTTATTATTATTAATAGAGATCATTCTAACAGATCTGATGCATTGTACTGTAAAGATCTATTTGGTGTCCATGAATGTCTAGGTGAGAATATATGTGGGGTTCCTTTGCAGTGTTAAGGCTTGCTGGATTAAAGCTGGCATACAAAATTTTCTGCTACTTTCATGCTGATAATTTCATCATTAATTTTATTTATTTAATGTGATATAATCATGATTTGTCAGCAGGAGGTTTTATATACCAAACAAATTATCTGAGTTATGAAATCTGATGTAATTCTTCTGATATTTATAGAAATGCAGATGCAAAGTATATTTATATTATTAATCGATGATTCAAATAACTTTAAAATTAATTGTCTTGTAACTGTATGCATAATTGATGCATGTGTTGCCTAATGGAAGTTCACCTATGAGCCCACACATGTATTAAACGGTCCTGTAATGAGGGAGAGGCAGTAATTTGAATCAATTGCTAACAAACGTGTTAATTTTGTTTCTGCAAGCCTTTATGGTGCTTTCTCAGAACACCTGATACTGATGTACAGTTTCATCAAATGTGTATTCCTACACCTGTGTTCATATGGCAGAATACAACATCTTTAGAGAGAACTGATTATAAATTGAATTATAAAACAATGTGAGACAACTTCTATGTCAGACTGAGAGCTGTAGGCTTTGTTGGAGTCAGAACACACGATGATTATAAATGCACTAATATGGCAGTAAATTTTGAAGTTGTCTGGGTGACCCTTTAGTATGTAAATATCCAATTTTGAAATGCATTGTAAACCTACATAATGCTGTAATTTAAGATATTTTATATTGAACATATGCTGTTCTTTTCCAGACCAGGAAGCCAAAACGACGCTTTCGCCCTGGTGTACGGGCTCTTATGGAAATCAGAAAGTTCCAGAAGAGTACAAACTTTCTTATACCAAAATTGCCATTTGCGAGAGTTGTGAGAGAAATTATCATGACCCTTGTTCCTGGGGATTACAGGTAATTGTGTTTTATTGTTACATTAAAAGTTAATTAAACCTTTCTTTTATATTCTTTGCATGAAACACAAAAGTGAATGTATAAAAGGGACATTGTACCTGTCCATGTACATGAGTGGTATCAGGATTGTACACTAAAAATTTTGTTCTCTTTCTACCAGTTATTTACAATCTCTAGCTCTCTCTCCTTGCATCAGAATTCATTAAACATTCATTGCAAAGAATACTGGGATGCTACATAAAATATACATCTCACTTATTTGAAAGTAAATATTTAATGATCACTGTTGGGCAAAATCCTGTCTACAAAACCAAAATTATTGGCCATGGGGATAAGATTTTCAAATTAGAAAGCATTATTCTATGACCTAGTGACCAGATTTTTGTTCCTGTTTTTAACATTCCTTCCCCCCTCTTGGTGATAACATCATGAAATTCTGTATTGACATACTATTGCCCAAGCTTGCTGTATGCAGCCACAGAACACATCTGTGGTTGTACTGAAAATGGTATTTTGTCTGTAACCTCAAACATGTTGGTTATTTAAATCCTGTGTTGCATAGTTATGAGGATGTAGCAGAACCAGATGCCGGTCACGGTAGCCGAGCGGTCTAAGGCATGCACTGTCTTCGCTCACTCGGAAGCCGGGATCGTGGGTTCGAATCCCACTCAGGGCATGAATGTTTGTGTGCATTTTCCTGTGTTTGTCTACAGGTAGAGGCCTTGCAATGAGCTGATCACTCACCCAAGGAGTCCTACCGCATGTGTAAGATCTAGAAAAACCGAAGTGAACGGAGAAGTTCATGGAGGTAGGCCTAGGCCCACTGGGGCTGTAGTGCC